CAGAAACTCATTGCAGAGTATTCATCTTCAAATGGGAGTACCAGCTCTGTTTTCAACAGACTCATTACTGACTCCGGAAGAAGGAGCGACGGCAGGTCTTGCCAGTTCGAGACAAATTTCATTGAATAATCCTCATAAACAAAAAACCCGATACGATTAACGTATCGGGATTTTTATACATGTGCATAACTATTATTTACAGTTATTGGTTTTCTTTTTAAATTCTTTCATAATATCCACAGTCCATACAGATAAGCACTGGCGCATTATTCCTTTCACACTGTTCAAGGAATCCAAATAGTTTTTTAATAGCCTTAATAATTTCTTTCAGTATTTCAGGTAAAAACTCCAGGCTAATATACCCAGAGCGTTTATTATCGGTTATCGATGGCAGTTTTCCTGCTGAACTTATCAATGTATTACAACTGCCACACTGTGGGCATTTTAAATGCATCCTCATTCTCCATATTTATAGTTTGCTAAAAAGTAGTCACATCTGCTTCGTAGCCGCAGTATTCAGAAGCAGGTCAGTCACTCCCTGCCCTGTCTGACGCATACGTTCCGGTGTTAATTTCGCGTAACGTTCTGTACTCTGAATACTGGCATGCGCCAGTTGGGCTTTAACGTCATACAGGCTGAATTGACCACTCGAAACCAGTAAAGAGGCAACAGAATGACGTGTGGTGTGAAAACAGACTTCATTCTTGTCTATACCGCACTGTGCCAGTATTTTTTCATATGCCCATCGGGGTTCCGATATCGGTTTTCCATTATCCTTAATGGCGAACAGATACGGATTACTGCCAACTCGTGGGATAGCATCAATAATCGATAATGCGGCATCGCTTAGATATACCGTCCGACTGCGACCATTTTTTGTATAAGGAATGAACAGAGTACGATTGGCCCGGTCGATATGTTCATGCCTGACATTAAGCATTTCTGATTTGCGTGTACCGGTTAACAACAACATGGCTATCAATCCCCCGGCAGCTTTGTTGGGATATTGGGTAGCAGCGTCAAGAATGCGCCTGATCTCATCAGCATCAAAAAAGCGCGTCCGCTGATTATTCTCTTTCAGTAAAGGGATCTTATCGGCTTCATTCTTTTCCAGCACATCCTGTCGCAACGCATAACGCCCCATCGTTTTCAGAATAGCAAGGGCTCTGTTACAGGTAGACGGCGCATATTGCTGCCCGTGAATACGCCCCTCCAGCATGTCAAACAGCACCTGTTGTATCTCTCTGGCCCTGAGATCGCAGTAACGTATCTTTCCCAGACGAGGTTCAATGTATTGCGTGAAACGCTGAACATCCTTATCCCAGGACTTTTTATGGCGCTTGATGAACGGAACATAGGTCTGGTGAAAAAACTCACTAAGTGTTGGCATCGCACGATAATTATCGCGTTCTGCTTTAGGGTCATTTCCCAGTGCAATCGCCTCCTTATGACGGCGAGCTATCTGGCGAGCTGTCCCCACATCAATTTCAGGGAATCTGCCAATACTGATACTTTTTTTGGTACCGTGGAATGTGTAGCGCAGGAGGAAACGTTTGTTACCCGTTCGACCTGAGAGACATTTGAGGCCAATAACTTCGGTATCAGATACCTCAAGCTCTGTAGATCTGGTATCTGTGTTTGCCGGAAGGGCTTTGATGGATGAATTGGTGAATCGGAAGGATTTTTGCATATTTATCCTCATGTATCTGATTGATATCATGGAGATAATATATATCTGAAGGTGTTTTTATTACGGGGCAGGATTGAAGAATGGAAAAGCTATTAGACGCGTACAAACGGATATTGCAGGAAGTTAACGCCCAGTCATTTAACCTGAATGAGGATAAATACTCAGGCGTATTTTTACCCGTACCCTTTGAAGAATACTGGCACTCACCGGTAAAAATCATGCTGGTTGGACGTGAAACCGCTGGCTGGAATACGCTGAATGGTAAGAATACGATATCACGGATGCTGGGACTTATACCTGACGTCACCATCGGGCAGGTGGTTGAAGAAGCTGTAGATCGTTACAGGAAACATCTTCCGGTACAAAATTATGGCACCGCCAACCTCAAATCACGTAGCCGCTTCACGCAATATCATTTCAGGCTGGCCCGGGAGCTTAATATTCCTCCCC